TAAAATTAACCCTGTGGGAATATTTAAATTCACTAATAAAAAAAATGTCAACATTCTTTGAAGAAATGTACATGAAAATAATTTAAGCATAAAATTTCTAATCTATAAAGTACGACTGTCCCGAGAGCAACGATTGAGATAAAATGTCAATGTATCTGAATAATGCTGATGAGCAACAAATCGTAATTGGAAAGATAAACGCAGAAGATCATTTGTAAAACACAGAAATAATTTACAAGAGTGCCACTTCGAGTCGTAGTGCACTCTCAAACGCCGAGACCACTGAGTGACGGATGAGCCGTGTCATTCGATGTTAATGTTGTGACATTTATCATAGGCGTACGTCGCTCGGGCAAGCGAAGTGGTAAAGATACTTGCTTTACGTTTGTGCTTCCAACTGCTTAGGAATGCAGTAGACTCTGCCACAAGATCACACAAAACTGATCAGGTTGATTTAGATAATCTCTTCTATTCTCTTGTAAGTATTAACAAATGGGATATTTTCTGGTTGGCGTCAAGTGCTGCTGTTCAGTAATTATATGAATATATCAACTAATTATGTGACATCGTAAATAAATTTTCTTGAAATCGATATTTAGATTCAATAAGTAAAAGATTATTCATTAAATTAACTCTTAACTATTAGATTTTTATGTCATATTAGTAACAAATTTAATGTATAGTTCATAATTTAATATAGTATTTAAAATTTATGGAAAAATAGGATCGAGAGCGTAAAGATATAAAATTATTTGGAAAGATTTATTGATCTTCGATTTCTAAGAAGAAATTTATTTAAAAGTAATAAATATAACTATTGTTATGAAATTGTTGGTACGTTAAAATAAATTAACATTTAATGATTTTTAAAATGTTAAAATATTTATATATTTAATAATAACATTGTTTATATATATGATATAGAATTGCATCTATCAATCATAGATTGCATATTTATAGATTGCATATATAACGAATATGAAAAAAGATAAAATTCCCAGGTTGAATACTTCAAGTTAGCACAATGGTTAATTTCAATCAAATTTTTTATCTTCAGAACTAAATTTACTCCACTCACAATCCATTATAATCCATTAATCACTTTCGACGTTTAGAAGTACAAACAGACTTCAATTTCCGGGAGACCGTTTCTTTACTGTTCTATCAGAGATAACCAAAATAAACTTGCCGTATCTTCCTTGCTTTATTTGGAGAACTATATAATTCGAATCTTAACTATTCAATTAATAGCGATCAGAATAAATAATTAACAAAAGTAAAAAGTATACTGCCTGACAACATTAACCACAGAGAAAAGCTTTACATCTGGAGTAGAGGCTCAATAAGGAAAGCTTGAGTTAGTCCATTAATAGGAACCACTTGAAATATATTTTATGAAAAATCTCCAAATTTTGGTCCTATCCAAATTTTGAGGACCAAAATATCACGTAGATTTTCCTATTTTATAATAAAAAAGGATAAACATCGTTTTCTATCATATAAACTATAGAAAATTTAGTGGTCTTTATCAGAAAATATTGCTTTTGCGGTGCGTTTCTAAGAATTTAACATCACTAAGCTTTATTCTATTAACATTATGTATTATACTCATATTGAGATCTTTAAAATCTTTAAGATATTTTGAGGCTTGTAAAAAATTTTTACATAAGCAGTACTAATTAAAAGACACGGATATTTTTTTCACGTTTAATTCAAACGCTTTCTATTACATTGGATAACTATTGAGAAAGTCAGGGTTTTAAACTAAAAATCCTAGTATGAATTCATTCAATAAGGACTATAAAAAATAATTGTTCTTCAGTTATAACTAGTTATGCTAGTGTGCTAGTGGAACAATCACCTAAATCTCATACTATTCCTAAATCTCCAGATACCATGAGCGAAGTTCTAATAGTAGTTAAGCAAATGTTAGAACAAATCACTACGTTAATGAATGTTCTTGTCACGCTGACGACTAAATTATGTCCGACAGTGAATTAAATATAGTGCTCTGGAATGCGAATGGGCTGTCAAAACATTGTTTAGAGCTACAAGAATTTTTAAAAGATCAAAAAGTAGACATCATGCTAATATCCGAAACACGTTTTACTTCAAAACATTATTTTAAAGTACCAGGCTATGACTTTTACCACACTATGCATCCCGATGGAACGGCTCATGGGGAAAGTGGCATTTTAGTTAAAACAAATATATTACACTTTGAAATGCAACAATACCGCACTGAAGAGATTCAAGCAACCAGCATATCAGTAAAAGATTGGTGTGGCTCAATCACAATAACATCAGTATACTGTCCACCAAAACACGCAACTAAGACGGCAACATATAAAAAATTCTTTAGAACCTTAGGTAACAGATTTATTGCGGGGGAGATTTTAATGCTAAACACGTTGAATGGGGCTCTCGGCTTTCAACACCCAAAGGACGACAGATGCTTGCGGCTATAAGAAGCGAAAACCTTTCAACTATCTCGTCTGGAGAACCAACTTATTGGCCCACGGATCCCAAAAAAATGCCAGACTTGTTAGACTTTTGTGTTACTAAAGGAGTGCGACAAAACGACACTTTCTGTAAATCTAGCTTTGATCTTTCATCAGATCACTCGCCAGTATTATTACGGATAAAATCGAATATACAACTTAAAGTTCAAAAATGTTATCTGCACAACAAATTAACCAACTGGGATGCCTTTAGGCATACACTTAAGGCATTACTTGATGAAAAAACGGCGCTTAAAACAGACGAAGAAATTGCGCTTGCAACTGAACATCTTATAAGGAGTATTCAACAATCAGCCTGGAGATCCACGCCTTCAAACATGCAACAATTCCCCACACCATTATGTAGTACGACTCAAGAACTTATAAGAGCCAAAAGAGCAGCCAGAAGGCGCTGGCAACAAACCAAATCTCCGAAAGATAAAAAACTTTTTAATGTGCTGATCAAAAATCTAAAAGAACATCTGAAAACAACCAGAAATTTGGAAATACAAAGAAATCTCCAAAGACTAGACGCAACTACTTCCACCAACTACTCTCTCTGGCGAGCAATCAAGAAACAGACAACAACGCACAATGCACCAGTAAAAAACGAACTTGGGCAATGGGCCCGAACAGATACAGAAAAATGCAAAGTATTTAAGGACCATCTGTCTTCAGTTTTTGTTCCAAACATTAATGAAGCCCCAAATAGTATATCTGAAGAGATTAGAGAGGTTTTACTGCAAACGCACCAACTGGACCTTCCAATACAAAAATTCTCCATTTTCGACATAAAATTTGAAATCAAGAAACTAAAAATAAATAAAGCACACGGCTATGACCTAATTACTTCAAAAATATTAAAGGAGTTACCGGATGAAGCAATAGTACTGCTGCGAAACATTTTTAATTCTATTGTCACAAAAGGCTTTATCCCTCCTCAATTCAAGGTGGCTCAAATCACCATGATACTCAAACCTGGGAAAACGGCAAAAGATGTTAAGTCATATAGACCAATTAGTCTTCTACCGGTTATGTCAAAGTTGTTGGAAAATTTATTTCTTACCAGATTAATGCCCATTGTCAATAGAAGGAGACTAATTCCGGAATATCAATTTGGTTTTAGAAAAAAACACAGTACAATAGAGCAAGTACACAGAGTGGTTAATGTCATACATACAGCATTTGACAAAAAGAAGTACTGCACAGCAGCATTTCTGAACATATCCCGGGCATTTGATAAAGTTTGGCATAACGGCCTATTGTTTAAGCTTAAAAAGATGCTCCCAATTAATTACTATATTTTCTTAAAATCTTACATCGAATCACGATATTTCTTTGTAAAACAGGGGGATGAAATGTCAACTTTGCAGCCAATTCAGGCTGGAGTGCCACAAGGCAGTGTCTTGGGACCAGTGTTATACTTACTCTTCACTAACGACTTGCCTACCACCGTTGGTACTGAGATTGGAACTTTTGCCGATGATACTGTGGTAATTGCTACAGACGAAAATCACCAGTTAGCATCAAACAAACTCCAGCGAGCGCTAGATAACATTTCCCAGTGGCTTAAAACCTGGAGAATAAAAGCAAATGAGACTAAGTCTTCACAAATAAACTTTACAATGAGAAGGAAAAATTGCCCTCCGGTACGACTTAACGATATCTTAATCCCTCAATCTACCCAAGTGAAATATTTAGGAATACACTTTGACACAAAACTAACTTGGAAGCACCATATTTTTACCAAAAGAAAAGCACTTGGCATCAGAATGCGGGAGCTCTACTGGATACTAAACAAAAGTTCAAAGCTTTCCGTGGAAAATAAACTTCTTATCTACAAAGCGATACTCAAACCAATCTGGACATATGGCATTGAACTCTGGGGAACTGCTGCATCTTCAAATATTGAGATTATTCAACGTTTTCAATCAAAAACCCTTAGATTAATCTTAGATGCTCCTAGATATATAACAAATGAATGTATACATCGCGATCTCAACGTTCCGGTAGTTAAGGATGTCATAAAAAGCCAAGCCAGTAAACACAAAAAACGTATGTTAAATCATCCCAACCTCTTTATGAGCAGAATTATAGCAGAAGGAAGAACGTTCACACGCCTCCGCAAACAAACGCCATTGGAACTTTAATGTGCCCGACTTCAACAGACGGATGTGCTACTGAGCTTATTGTCTACTCTGAATTGACAGATCGCAATAAAAGAAAATAAAATTAAAAAAAAAAAAAAAAGTTATAACTATATAGTTAGTAATATTAGAGTTAGTAATAGTAATACCATTTACTAGTTATACGTAGCTAGTGATAACAAGAGAAATACGAGTGAAAAGACTTTTCAAATGTACCAAGAAAATGGTTTGTTAATTATAGAACTTTTTCCAATGCTAGAAGTTTCAATTTCATTGTTGTTTTTAATTTTATAAATACATAATTCAGTTAATAATATATGTATATATTTTATTTAGCTAAAAAATTACTTACCGACACCAGCAACATGTATTTTTTTCATCCAAGGATAAATAATTCTTTCACCATCCGTTGTTTCACCCATGAGATCATCATCTGTATCTGAGTCGCCTAAATCATCATCATTTCCGTTTGAACCTAATTCATCGGGTGACCGATCTAACATTAGGCGATCTTCTTCAGGCATGTCGTCCTAAAAAATAAAATAATATGTTTATATAAAGGTTACCTGATAGCTTTAGATTAAAGTGGCCATATATTTATTTAATAACATAATTTAATTAATGAAATATGTATGTTGTAAATAATATAAAATAAATAAAAAAATTTGTAATAATAATAGTACTTGTTTAATTTACCATATCGGAACCGGCATCATCACAACGTAGCCTCATACCCAACTCTTGCAATTGTTGACCAGCAGGTACAGCTTCCTCTATCCGTTTTTCTAATTTTAAACCTGGAATTTATATCACATATGGTTTAGTAAATACAAATACATAGATTCATGTTGAAATTCAATTTGAATATTAACAAAATATAAACATAAGAAAGCTATATATTAATTTTGAAAAAAAATCCTTAATCTAATTTAATTAATAAGACTTAGACGTATTTAGTATATTAGTTTTTCGGTTGAGTTGCTCGTTCTCTCTCTATTTATGGTGTTAGTTATATATTTAATTAAATTATAATCTTATTATATTTTAAAAATTAACAGTATAAATACTATTTCTTTTGTAGGAAATATATATATACCATATGTACTATACATATATTACATATTAAATATATATTAGATATTATACGAAAAAGGACCCAAGTCGTTTCGTGGTTTACTTCGACTAATCCTTCACTTCAGTGGGGCCACTTGTTGGACAGTGCGCTGTCCCAACGTCCCACCATATATATATATATATATATATGCATATTATATATAATATGTATTACATACATTATTCACATATACCAATGTTTGTAGAAATAAACCCATATTTAGGTAAAAACTTTCATAAAATATAATAAACTGATAATAACATACTAAAAAGTATATCTTATATATTACATACAGTCTATGTAGTATTATAAGTAAGTTTCAGTTAGAGATAAAAGAGAAGACCATTCCCTAACTTTTAATTGTTAGCAAAAATTATAAAAACATAAACAGATAGACGGACAGTGTCTCTAAATAGAGCATGATAATCGATTTAAATCAAGAATTCACAGAATTTACATTCAATAATATTTATAAGGTGTACTATGACTTCATCGTTGATTTGCAAACAAATTATGTATACCCTTTATTCGGAATAGTTTGAAGAATATAAATATTAAACTTTTAGAATTCGTGTTAAGCTAAGTTTTTCACCTATTTCAAATTGCACTCTACCAAAACCCTGTTAATTCAATTATTCACCTAAACTGCAGACACTGGTGAACCAAGTCTTGCAGTCTCTGAGGCTCTAGTCGCTAGTCTCTGAGATGATGATACAATAACCATACTAAAGTTCAAAATGCTTAAGAAATTCTTCTTCAGACCACAAAGCTATTTCCGTTATAATTAAAGGTTTAAAAACACATCCACGAGGAGTTAATAAACTATCGTATGAATTCTTCTTCATTTTGACAGCCTACAAACACATATTACAGTGAAATTTTCATATAAACAAATTATATATATAATCAAAAATAATACCGTTTTAGAAAAGTAATCAGAAGTTATGTTTGGAAATGGAGACATCACATATATTGTTTGGTTCTTAGAATTATAGAAGGTTACAAATATAACTCCGACAAGAAGAAGAGATGAGAAAAACTTGAGAAGACATTTATATGGAAGAGTAAGTGTGGAAAAAATTGACTGATTCCACGTTTTTAGTACAGTATATAAGGATAATGATTGTAATAATATATTGAATTCGCACGATCTTATTTCCTAATGTAACAATAAATTTCAACAACAACAAGTATAGGTTAACAAAGATACTTACATATAGCTTAGAAATTTAGTCGTAATTCTTTATATAAAGATATAGATACTTAACCACAATCTGGATTGTTGTGAATATGAACGTTTTTATTGTTTGAAAATGTTTCTGGGTAAAAATATATCTTTTTTCTGTAAGATAGAATTCCACATATGCTGGAAAGCTTTCTGCTAAAGCTGTTTACATGTGATTACGAAAGAAATTATGGAATATTTATTTTTTACTAGTCGGTTTATTCCAAACAAAAAGTTAGCTTAGGTTTTTTCCATCTTAAGTAATTTGAAGACGACCACTTTACGTAGCCGCTTTAATAGAGTTTATACAATATGATATTGAAATTAGAAATTAGTTAAGCAGTGATGTTTATGGAGGTGATAATATCTCAAGTAACCCCAATATCAGTCTCTGGAATTTGGATGTAATATATTGTCAATAATACGCTAGAAAGAATGATTCAAAATGTCTTTAAAGTTTTAAGTTGTGTTTTTCATAACATGTATACTGAAAAGTTAAAAGATGTGAAGTAAATTTGTCAATAATATCACAGAGTGTCCCTAGCCTATATAAGTTACATGTCTTTTAAAATTAGTAAATATGCTAAATGGAACGCTTCAAATTGTCTTCAAAGTTGAAATTTCACTGATTTAAGTTATTTCACAAAATTGTATATTTGTCTCCCTTTATCCTAATCCATTCCGTTAATGTTAATAGAAATAAATGTCAAGTACTTTATATATCATATTTTAAATAATTTAATTGCTGTTTCGATAAAAAGGTTTCCGATAACAACAGGAAAAAAAAACAGAAGATGTTTTAGGTTTCATAAAATTTGCAATGCATTTGATTACTGGATGACTAATTCTTAAATGGTGACATATTCTGACAAAAATATTACAGAATAAGTAACTATAATTTCTAGATGTTAACTAAATTTAACATAATTATAATATTATCTTATCTTTTCATCAAATTATATACCTTGATTGAATAGGAAGCGAATACTACATATTTGATATTTGACAGATGCCCTTCAGATAAATTTAAAAAATTTAATCATAAAATTATATCTCATGCAAATTTCCTCTTATATCTACTCAACTCCAATAATCATATTCGTAGCATAATCTAAATATGTGACATTAACCCGTATCCAAATGTGTATATCTTACCTAATTCCTGCAAACCAAGTGCAGTGTTCGTAGGCGGTTCACTAGAAGATCCACATTGCAAAGGAATATCCATTATATGAGAGTGCGGTGAATGTCCTTGAGAATGTGCACTACCAATACTTCCATTTGTACCATAATAACCACCATAATAACCATTTCCATGTATCGCAGTATTATTAGCATTTGGTGTATTCACCGTCGGAGCATAGGCACCTGGTAAGGGCACTGATTCCGAATGTACTGCACCCGCTGATATATACTCAGGCGGTTGATGATGGACTGCTGCTGCAGCTGCCACCGCCGCCGCTGCGTGATGACCATAATAACCTAAACTTTGATGATGATGATGTGCTTGAGGAGAAGAATAGTTAGAATAGTTGCTATTTTGATGATGATGTCCAGAAAGTGTATTGTTTGCATGGTGATGTGAGTGTGTGTGGTGCGAATGATGATGAACTGCTGCGGCCATATAATCACTAACCATATCTGCAGGATGAGTAGCATGTGGATGTGTTGGCATGCTGTTACCAGCACCATTTCCACCTACTCCTAATCCCGTACCACCACCCATATGACCCGTTGAAGCTGTCATAGAGTAATGATTGCTATATTGATGATAATCATCGGCGACGGGTGGAAATTTTGGATCCAAGCCATTTCCCATGCTCATAGAGCTTTGTACATGGTGTGGAGCGTGTGGATAACCCATTAAAAATGAGCTCATAATGCTTACTTTCAAGCTAAAATTATAAGTCTACACCAAACAATTTCACTTCTTCTATCGGAGTTGATAAATGCTTTGAAGTTTATTTAAATCCACAATTTTTGTATTTTTATATAGTATAGCACTTTTTGAGATATATACTCCAAAGAAGCTTTTTATCATTATCGTATTACTTTAACACATATTAAATTTTTTTCATATCAGAATTTTTTTTTTATTTATTTTTATAGCACAATTATTTTAACAGATATTTTACTTTCACTAAAATATTTATTTATAATATATTAGATTTTTCTTTATATCTTGAAAAACTAGTGAAGCTGTTAGCTTCTGACTTTCAAGTTGTTATGAATCGAATTTTTTCGTTCACGAACTGGCGTGACACTGAAATTTTCAGACTTCAAACTATCCGCGGGTAAATCGAATTCAATTCAACTTCAACATTTTACCGTCCCGTCCGTTCGTTTCAAGCGGCTCTTTTGTTGTGCGCGAGCGACAGACTTGAAACACTGAGCGAAGCTGCATGCTACGATATATGAACGCAACAACAACAACGTCACCTCCTCATCTTATTCTCAATTGTCTGTCTCTGCTTATATGTTTCCAATTCATCTTCTTGTTTATTTATTTCAGAAACAAAACCAGATTTACAAGTTTTCAAGATATGAGGTTTTTGTGAGTTTTTCTTTCTTCTTATTTGCAATAATGGTGGATGTAGGAAGAGGGTATAATGGCGAATTTCGAAGGCGGAGTTAAGGGTAAAATAACAAAATATGGTTCTCCTTTTTCAAAGCACACAAATGAATGAAAGCAAAATGGAAGCAATGCCAAGAGTGAATGAGAAAAAACTAATTGGATTTCTGTTATGAATTAGTATTTTTTTAATACCCTACTTTCAGCAATATGTGACTCTCACAAATAGCCATATATGTTGCTCTGTTCCCAGCTATTTTATATATTTTAAAGAATTTCGTTTTTAAATACGTTATAAAAAGAGATACTAAATAATGACACTAACAAAGACCTCTATATTTAAGTTCTACTTCACATACATTTATTAGATTAAAATCATATACATGAAAATTTACATAAAACTGCGAAAGGCATACATTAAGGTTTTTTGAAATACTGCATTCTTTAATTTTACAGAGCTCTTAACTTATCTGTTAGCTGTATATGTTCAAAATATTATAAAAACTAATTACTAATCATTTTATATCACATCTATGTCGTTCTAGTGCATACAATCAGACGGGGTATGTCAAAATCCCGTATTGGCTGCGTTATAAACATAACATAGATAAGATAAGCATATGCAAAGATATGGTATGGTATGGTATGCTATTATCACTATTCTTAACGTTTGTATTTACACAATTTCGTTTTATATTTTACGATAAATACTTCTTATTTGGCGTATTCATAAAACTTTTATTAGTATGCAAACTTTTACTATTACCCAAAAACGACTTACTTTTATCGTCTCATATATTATAAACCATATTAAAAACCATATTATAAAAGTACCGCATGTATTTGCGCTATCCTACACATCGCAGTAGTAATTGGTATCGTACGACATAACATACCATACCACATTTACCATACGACATTTACTTGTTTAAATATTTTACACTAGAGGTACACAGAACGACTTATGTCTGGTAAACTAAAGCGAACGTGGTAAACGATAAAATGTGGCAAATTGCATATATAAGAATGACTTTTTACTTTTATCTTCGTAGAGTTCTAAAATTGAGTTAATTTATAACAAAATGAACGTTTTTGTTTTATATAACAGAAAAAAAATTCCAAAGAAACTTGGAAGAAATAAAATTCAAATTTCAGTCAAACTTGTTTTTAATATAATTTTTTAGTTGTATTATAATTTATTTATTTATTTATGATTTTTTAAACACTTCTAATTTCAAATTAAGCTTAAATTGTGTGCATAACTACATAATATTAAGAATCAGCTGATATCTTACTCGAAATGATTGAAAAAATTATTACTCCTGATGCCTCGGTAATTCGTTAACTCAATAATAATGTAATATCAGAAAAAAGAGTATATATAGAATTTCATCACTTTAGAGCACATTTTAATCCGCTTGATAATATGGAATATAATATCAAAATGATTAGTTTTAATCTATATGAATAAAAGAAAAGTCATATGATTTCGTATTAACAGAAAACACATGATATATTAAGTAAACTTCAATTTATTAGTGATAACAATTTCTTTATATAGTTTTTTAGATATTTTTTAATACATTGTAGCTCTGTAAGGTGTAATCCTCTACTGCAGGGATATATATTGCTACAATATAAATCGTCCAAATATATTAAAATTTATTAAAATAAATGTATATGGATTAAAAAAACTCGTACGTATACTGTTAATAGCTAAATAAATTTATTTATAAAACCTTTTTAAAATTTTTTAATAAAGAAGGTGTACATATTTCTCTACTGTAGATATATATACTCCTACAGTACAACTCTTCTAAGTTTATGTAACTTAATTGAAATATATGAACCAGAGGCTTAAAAACAAAAAAAATTCTTACGTATACTTTATATTAATAAGTAAAAATAATATCAGCAACTCATTATATATATTAACTTAAGCTAAGTGTACACGTATAAGACCTAACCAAAAGTGTAGTTACACTCAATGTCGTTGTATATCGCACTGTGTAATTTCCTATTTGCTTTTTATGAAATTTCTTTGCTTTAATGGCGCCTGCGTATGCATAGCTCCGCCTCCGTTGACATAGATGGATGATCTTTGTTCTTGTGTTACTTGAAAGACTTTTTAAGAGCCAAATGCAAACGAGTCGAAAGCCTTTGAATAAAACCAATCGATTAAACTTTAAAATTGGGATCTTCAAAACGTGCGTTGACCGAGACTGGATATTGTTTGAACTTTTCGTCTCTTCAATGTTTTGAATTTATTTGATGTTGTTGATATTTGGGCTACTGTTGAAAACCGACTGACATTGGACTGACTTGCAATATTTCAACGTTTGTAGTCTGAAACGCACACCAACAAACGCACGCTCGCAAAGTGTTGCTTTTATTGTACTTCTTCTTCTTCTTATTGTTGTTTGTTGATACACAACATTGTTGCTTTCTGTTGGATTTGGGTTGTTGTTTGCATTGTGTTGTGTTGTTACGCTGTGTTGTGTTGTTGTGTTGTTGTATTGTGTTTTTGTGTAATGATATGCAAATTTTGAATGGCGTGAGGTGCAACCGAAAATCGATACAAATATTTTATTGTTTACAAAAATTCTAATAGAAAAATAAATTTGTTATACTTAGTAGCGTATCATGTGAGTTTGAAAATATATATAATTAAATTAAATGGTGGCGTAGAAACTGGATTCCAAAAATTTTGGAATATATGTAGGTTACTAGTACTTATTGAATTTATTTTGATTTATTTATTTATTATTTATTTTAATTTGCAACACACTTACTTTCAGTATATCAGTACAATCTAAAAATAAAATATATATGACATATGATTTTGAAATATAATTCTCATTCAGTATAATTTCTAATCAAATAACACCATATATCTTTGCAAGTACCAAGCACTTTATCAGATCATTTTGGGTGGGTGTACGTCATTGCATTCGATATAACTTACGTATAGCAAGGAATAAATCATGAATAAATGAAATTAAAGAAAGATTCTGAAAACAAAAAAAAAAAATTAAAAATTCTATTCGAGTTTTTATAAAATGAAAGATATAGGTTTGAAAATATTATAATACTTATTGCAAAAACTGTCGAAAAATATTTTGTCACTGGCCTCCTTCATCAAAATTCTACTATATGCTACATTTCTTTATTTTTTTATTTTTTACTCTGTACAGACATTAATAAAAAGGTATAATTATACAATATAATAATCATCAAAAACTCTAATGATGTATAGGGTATATAGATATGTACTATCGAGATAAACAAACCTTTATTTTTGTTATATCTGTCCAAAACTATATGCACAGAAACTTTATAGTGTCTTTGATGTTTCTTTCATTAGAATACAATGATAATGAAAAATGAAAAAACAAAAAAGTAAAGGGAAATATATTTAATAATCATAATTTTAGTTTAATAGAGATAGCTCGAGGTTCTATTGTCACTTAAAAGTTTGGTTACTTGATTACAGTATAGTTTTCTAAAACATGTTATATTATTATTCAAAAACTCCATTTTTAAGAGAATGTCTTAAGTGTGCGACATCACGTCAATTTTGATACCAAATTCACAGAACTCAACATAACTGGTCACAAAAAAATATGAGTCTGTGAGTACGTTATTTGAAGTCACTGGTCATAAGAATAATAGACTACAGATAATCCAAAACCAAGAAAGTCAAAGTAGCTTACAAGATAATAATCTAATGCTTATTATATAGCTTAATATTCTGATTTAACAGATCGTAATTTTATCATAGAGGCCAAGGTGGTTAATAAAATATATTAGACAACTTTTCTAAATTAAAGAAACAAAGTAATAGTAATAAATCAATTACAATTAATTAGATTTTGCCCCATATACATATATCCATAATTCAGAAAAACTGCATGAAGACATAATGAAAAAAAAGGGTATTGCTGGAAATGAGACTTATTTAGAAGACAGCAAATAATTAAATATTTAATTAGAATAGTTGGTGCCTACTATGCATTGATACCTATGTTTCAAATAAGGAAAACTATTGCATTTATTAATTATCAACGTTAATGCCATTTATATCCTAGTGAAGCATAGGGCCTCAACATATATCACAGCATTTTTTCTAAGCTTCGCCGAATAAGAATATTAATTTAAGGGAGCTGTTTAAAAACTAATTTAATTAAGAAAACAATTTCATATTAAATCTACAAAATTTCTATATATTTGAGTGTGGCATGGTTTATACAACTCTTCAAATTAATGTTATAAATATTCCATTACTTAAAACAGAAACTTAATGGAAATGGTTTATAATTAGGAACCTCAAGATTGATCCCATCAAAAAATACATAAAAGATAGAATCCTGAAATTA